CCACCACCCAGGCTTCCAGGAGAATGTGGCATTCAAGCCAAGGGAAAAAGGGGGAAGAAGGGAATGTCCTTGGCAGCTGGGAAGGCTACAGAGAGCAGGGTGTGTGTGTCTGGGAAATGAGGACAATTTGGAACGTGGGATACCGAGTCCAGGTGAGGCTGGGGAAGAAATATTTACTGAAAGATCACAGGGCCAGACATCACTCAGGGTGGGGTTTCTGTCTTGCTGGAATGGCCACTAGGGAGGCAGAAGTCCCTGATCTGCCAGGTCCCCCTTGCTAACTGAGACCACACCCGCTGCCATTTGCACCCTTCCTGTGACCAGGTCAGGGCACAGGGGAGCAGAATCAGCAGAGCGGGCAAAAGACCCTGATGCTGGATCCAAAATGCCCCACCCAGGGCAGCCAACAGGTACCAGAGTCAGACCTGGAGATGGCCGAGGCTCACTGGTAGTGCCCACAATGGGCCATGCAATGCCAGCATTGCCAGAGCTTCCCAGTCAGAATGCAACGACATGCACTGGCCACGGTTTGAAAATGAGGGTCTGTGTGCCGTTTCTCCTCTTGGTGCAGCCACAACGGGACAGATGCACACGCAGGTGGTACTGAGAGTGCAGATTCTGGAGTCAGCTGCAGGGTTTGGGCCCGGCTTTGTCCCTCAGCAGCTGTGGCATGTCAGCAACTTATCCAGCCTGTCTGCCTCTGCTTTCCCATCTGTAAAATGTTGGGAATAACCGGAGCCACCTCTGGAGCTTCCGGTGAGAACTCAGTGAGGACGTCCTGGAGGTGCTCAGGGTAGTGCTAGGCACACCAGCTGCTCTTACTATGATTGTTTCCTGTGCATGCTACCCCCAGACACCTACACCAGAGGCAAAAGAAGGAAGAAAAGTGAAAAAGAAATAGCATGTGTCCAGGTAAAAAGAAGGCAAGTGCTTGACCTGTGAGATCACGGTCGGTTCTTCATCCTCTGGTGGCTGACACTGCTTCATGACTGGCAGGTTCTAGATTCCTATTCTCGGGGCCTTTTCAGACACGTCTGTCCTCAACCCTGCAGGACAGGCCCTCAGCTTGTCTCTGGGTCCCTGACAAGCCCCTGGAAGTCTCCAGAGGAAAGCCAGGCACCTGCAGCCCTGCCCTGTGGCTGGAGTTGTGAACTCCTCGCTGAAAATCAGCGTAGTCACAGTGTGGGGAAGCGGGTGGCCCGGGTGTTTTCAAAATATTTCCTCGGATAGCACTGTTTGGCTCACACACGTTAGCACTTTCCAGAATCCTGCAGATGGCAAGGCAGCTGGAGAGGAAGGGAGGAGAAGGGGGAAGCGGGAAAGGGTTGGGGGGACGCCTAGGGCTAAATCTCAGGTAGCTGTGTGGGCTGGGGCTGGCACAGGCACAGGCAGGCATCGGCGCGGCATGTGTGAACAGGAACAGCACGCACACGACAGAAAGCCGATCAACCTGCAGACTAGTCTGCAGACGGCTAAGCTGTGAAGCCCTCTTATGAACCAGAACTTTCTTCGGAAGCCCAATATGTAGAATTGGAACCAGTGGATGTGCGGAATGCAGGACTCACCCCACAACCACCCTCTCCAGAAGCCTGGCAGCAGCAGGACAAAGCAGGAACCAGAACCCTCTGGCAGTGCCCCACTCCCCAAATCCCAGAGGCTTGCAGACTCAGCTCAGCACAGCCACAGAGAATGAGAAGAGCCCTCCGCCACTTCCTGGATGCAAGGTGAGGACCCTCCACTGCCAAGCCCGGCTCTCCCGCTTCTCACCAGGTGCTTGGTTTTAAAGTTGGTCACTAAGTAAATCGAAGTTATTAAGAGATGGAAAATGTGCTTCCTATTCCACACACTTAGTCACTCAGAATAGTGCCTGAGTTTCTGGAAATCACTGGTGCCACCTTACACCACCACCCCTGAGCTGATAGGACTCGAGCCCAAAGCAAAGAAATCTGACATTTTTGTTCAGGTAGCCTACCAAGTAAATGAACGTATGAGGGTTTGCTCACAGGTAGGCCCCACCTTGGAGAGACATAATGAGAAAATTAGCTTTGGTCTATCCAACCTAAAGCAATGTTTAAGAAGTAAAGCTTCTCAGATGCCACAAAACTGGAGAAAAGTCCCATCATTCTGCACCATCAAAGTTAAAC